GACACCGTTTGAAAGATCTCCAAGTGAACCTGGTAGCACAGGTTGAATAAACTGAAGAAATGAGGCATCTCCTGTTTCATTGTAAGCATTGAATTACCTTGTGAGTAGAAGGTTATGTACAGACTTATCCAGAGTTTAGGCTACAGATGGAAACCACACATTCAGTGTACAGTTTCAATTTCTGTTGGGGAACCATTAGCAAGTCGATTATAGATTCAAAATAATTCCAGAGGCCCATGAGTGACATTTCTAGAGAATACTTTTCGTCTGGCAAAGGATCAGAGTGAAGCCTATCCTAACCAGAAGACTCACTGATGAAACGTGTTTTAAAAGAATATTACTGACCCTCATTATGAGTAAAATATTGAAATAAATTGCACTGTTTCTATCTTTTTTTAATAACATTGACCGTTTCTAATGGCATACAATGTTAATCATTATATTACATTATTACATATCATCTACTTTTATCCAAAGTATTACAATAAGTGCATTCAACCAAGAGGGTACAAACCCAAAACAACAAGAATCATGTAAGTACAATTAGCTATAATAAAGTCAAACCACGAGTGCTAGATGTAAGTTATGTAAGTGCAACTAAAATATGTTTTCCAACTCATACATTATTATAGCATACTTTCTTACATAAGGCAAATCTATTCAAGCTACAATTTCTGAGTCTATAATTATACTTAGCCTGGTGTACTTATACCAGAGATTTTCTTAAAACGGTGTTAGTACTTATAGAAAATGTGTAACGTTTGCACCACTGGTGAGTCAAACTATATAACCTGCACTTCCAAGGCAATTCACCGTGCTGTCGCTTTTCACTTTTGAGTATTAAAGAAGAAGAAAGAATAAAATAATGAAATATTTTAGCGCAAAAACAGATAACAAATTATGCTGGAAGCCACATATAAATTATATAAATCAAAAATATCAAAGTGGTATATAAATTCAAAATATACATTAATTATTACCCTATACTGTTCCTTCATACTCCTATATATGACCTACTACATTGCAAAGTACTTCCAACAAGATTAAATACATATTAACAGATGTTTAAAACCAACACACTGATGATTGTGGAGTGAAGTAGAACAGGGGATTTCTTACTTACTTAAGTTGATATTTGAATTTTTATGGGTGAGGGGCAATCCCAGCTGACATTGAGTAAGTGGGTATCACAGGGTCAACATCAGTGAGGAACAACCATTCACTCTTATATTCAAACCTAGAGTCTCTAATAATGTCCAATAATCCAAATAATCTCTAATCT